TGTGTTATGTGTGTGTACACACCTATCTTTTTTCAGAACAAATTAGTGGTTTGTTAATGGCCCCATTAGATGCCTTCAGTAACAGAGAAGCATAGTGTCTAGAGCCTGTAACTACATATCAGTCATTTTGAAAAGGGAATAATCCTTTAAGATATTAGCTGTGTTGTTTTCAAAAATGACTGAAAAGATCAAAAACATTAAGACGAGGAAAACATGATTACGTTTTGTGCCTATATAGAGCCAGAAATGTATTATATTAAACGACATAGACTGTTTGATTTGCGAGCTTTTTATTTGAGTTTTTAGGACTTCTGCTAGTGTGTAGATCTGGACATCTGCTCTGATATACATATATTCAGCTTGCATTTAAGTTTCAGGTTGTCAGAGCACCATGATGTGTTTGTGGTAGTCCATCTGTGTGAGCTTGTGTGGAAGCTTCAGGGGTGACTTGTGTCTTGTCTAGCGTCACACACGCACAATCATTCTGATCAAACTTGAGTTTTGGGGTTAATGCACACTACAGGAACCGGGAAGTGAACCACAGACCTTCCGACAACCTGCTCTACCCCCTGAGCCCCACAAAAAGAAATCATGGTAAAATGATCAGGTACAAGTACTAGTCTGAAAACTAGTGGAAAAAATAGCCATTGTCCAAACAAAACTTTGAAAGTCCTTAAAAAAGCCTTGAGAACTTGTGCTCAACACCACCTTCAAAGAAAATTAGAAGAAAGTCTGGCTCCTTGAAAGCAAAATATAAAGAAATGAGGGGTTCAGCAAGAAATAACAAAAGGTTTGTACCAAAAAATTGCAATTGAACTTGGAAGTCAGTATTTCAGAGTTTCCAGATGGAATTCTTAACTGGAAAGCCCCCTCAAGTTTGACTTCCAACTTGAAAAGTCAGAGCAGTCCCACCAGTCCTGACTTAGCAATGCTTAACAATCCAATATGGCGGCTGCTCATGTAAACGATAGTAAAACTGTAAAACTTGTAGTCTGTGCTGCCTTTGTTGTCTATCTGTCACTGGCTAAATAAACCACACACAGGCTCTGTCTGTCAGCATGCTGCAGTGGTGCAAAAAAATAAGCACTGTGCTCTATTGCTAGTCATGCATGAATGTCTCTAACTTGATAAGGAGCAAAAGAAATCCAATTTTCGCCTTGCTTTTATCGACTTTACGGCTGGAATATGCTCAACTTGGGAGTGATATCACTCCCACCTCTGACTTCTGAGATAAACGAACACAGGAATACTGGAAAGCAGATGCACCCCAGGAGAAGGGGGTGGGGGGTACTCCTAGAACCTATTAGCTGGGTGGGGGTGGCATTTTTAAGTGGCCTTATTTGTACATGACTACCCTTCTTGTGCACTGAGAGCAGTGCATTATCTTATGTAATTTTATTTATTATTTTTTGACCACAACTCTGTCTGCTGTTCTTATATAAAGGCAAGGACCTGCAGGGCAGCAAACTTGGTCTCAGGTGGTGACAAGATGTTAACCTTGCCCTTCCCTGCCTTCCTCTTTTCCCCTCTGACCTTCTTTTTTGTCACCCACCTTTTCCCTTTCTATTATCTCTAGTGTTGCCTGTAAGCATTTTCTGTGTTCCTGCACTTGCTAGGTAAATAGTTGGAAAAGAGTGCCTGCTCAAAAAGAGCTCTTGCAAAATAATGCATTAGCCATGCTGTAGTTCCGTTAAAATGAATGGCATGAGTGGAATCTGAGCAACGGATCCTTGTGCCAACATATTGATAGCTTTTGGACTGGATGTTGGGTGGGAATTCATTACACAAGCAGGACAGCATTCCAGGATTGTACTGGAGCCCACTGAAAGGGAGGGAAACACATGCAGAGGATTTATATTTTATTTAGACTTGTTAAAACTCAGTGAATTAGACAAGAACAGTTTAAGAATGGAAAGATTATAGATAGCTTAAAAAAGAAAATACATTGTTATTAATATAATATAAAAAATATGCAGGTTTTGAAATGTGCTGCATAATGGGACTCTAAATATAGTATATAAAAATTAGGAAGGACTTATTGTTCCCATTGTGTTAATTTTCTTATTCTCTTATGTACTGCTGAGGCTCATTTATTCTTTGCCTTTTTTTGGCACATGATTTGACATTTACACATACCATGTGCCAGCTCTTAATTTTCTCAGTGTGTTCACTTTCCAGCCTATGTTTATGTGTATCTCTTTGTGCTTTGTTGCATGTCCTTGCTGGTTCCATCTTTTGTTCTCTAACCCTATCTGTACTTGGTGTTCATCCACGTTAACTGAAAGCGGGGTATTGACGGAAGGAGAAATTATAGTTAGAAATTTGCCCTGTTACTTTCACAATGAGGTCCAATGAATTTCCTCCATATGAGGGTTGGTTAGCACTCCACAAGGGCCCAATAAACTCATCATATTTTGCATTAGTTCCATAAATTATAGTGAGTAGAATCCAATCACTGATGGAGTTAACTACGTTTGGAAAACAAATAATTGGGTTTAGCAGCACTCAGGTTCACTGGCAGATGATTTTAATCAGGAGGATGTTACGAAAGGCAACGTGACGTATACTGGCAGACAACGAGTTGTTGTTACAGCGCGTCACAGAAACATTGTCACCGTATCATAGTGTGACATGTTTTTATTGTATTTTTCATTTCATATAGTAAGTAAAGGACCTTATGGTAAATAATCTATTTCAGTTTAAATAGTGAAATAGTGGTTTTAGCATTTTTTTCAAAGACTATTTATCTTGATAACAGTAATGTGGACATCAGATCACAACAAGGGATAACATAAGTTATAAGTATTTGTTTATTTTAGATCGCAAGAAACTATTTAATGTTGCAACAATAAATTGGAATGCAGCACAAGCAGATACGTTGACTAAATGGATTATAAGTAGCAGTTTATTATGTTGTTGTGAATGGAATTTGGAGGAAAGGTCGTAAAGAGAAATAGGCATAACTTGGCTAAAAATGCTAACGCAAGCAGTGTACATGTGCCAACAAAGTGGCTGCCCAGCATATATGACTAGTGCATGCATGGTTCATAATGGTGTTACTGGATTGTATTTAAGCATGTTTCAGTCTCATTTGCCTAGGCTAGGTGGGCAAAATAGTTGAAAGTTTGCTCCAAGCAAAAGGGCACACTTTGTGTGACACAATTATGTGTGCAGTGTAGACTCAAAGTGATCCTCAGACCTGCCGCACCAGCCTCCTGTGGGGAGCCAAGCAATCACTTCTAACTACCTGTCTGCCTGAATGTGTCTGCTTGACCCACATAATGACCTGTCTCCCTGCCTCTTTGTCTTTGTGTCTTTATAATTATTTGTATTTGTTTACACCTGACTCTGACACTCTCTGGCTTCTACCTGCGCCCATTTGTGTTCATGTCAAGTCGTGCATCTCATTGCTTTTCTTTGTCTGAGTGCTCGTTTGTGATTTATCACATTGTCATCATGCCTTTTTCTCTTTCCTCTCCTGCTGTCTTGTCATCCTAGCATATCTTTCTCCTTTTTTCTGTGTGACTGTATACACATCCGTGCCATAGGTTTATGCTGTTCAGACTTCTTGAAGGCAGAAACTGAAATACTTACATAGCCAATCCCAGAAGGTTAAGAAAGTCAGATTAAAGCATTTCAGTGCTGTTCTGGTTTTTGTTGAATCTATTTTTGTTTTTGCACTAATGTGTAGATATTCTTCTTTTGCCTTGTGCTTTTATCAGTTAGCTCTTTTCCCTTTGGACACCTTTTGGTTAGATAGTTAGATAATCTCTGTAAACAGATTTTGCATATGAATATGTATCACAGCTCACAATGTTTGGTACCAGAAACTTTTTGTCTCTAGTCAGTTTGTATTCCTAGTGCTGTTGGCCAGTCATGTTTGAGCAGGCTTTGGCTGCGTGTAGGTGAAGATTCTGTGCAGAGATTACAAAAAGCTGGGCATCTGCTGAAATGAAATCTTGAAACCCTTAGCTTGTCGATTTAGATTTTATTTGTTTTTTCTGTTTAATGTATCTGGATTCCTGAACAATGACTGGTGGACAAAAATGAAAATCTTGGCCTTGAAATCTACTGGCTACACAAGTGCTTACCAGCAAAGACTATGGCAGTGGTGGTCTTTCTTTTAAAGAAATAAGCTGCCCTAAGCACTAGCATGATTACCTGTTAATTTCACAATTAACTCGAGCTTCCTACAGCAATACTGGGTTTTGTCTGGTATGGAATGGCTCATGGCAAGATGAGCAAGAAGAAAGAAAAAAACAAAACAAAATGACGAAGTAGTTAAACCTAACAAACTTGTGTGCTAACCAGAGATCAACAATGGATCACATATCGATTGTGGGAGAGAGTATGAGCGTGCAGCGTTTAAAGCGTGGAAGTACTGACCTTACTTTAAGTTTGATTCCATAAAAAGTGACAAAAACATTAGTGTCCGTTGTGCGTGGGAAGAAAACTTCTTTTTACAGCGAAAAAAACCCCTAAACAAGCACCCGAGTGCGCTACGACGTAATGGGAAATTCACAGAGAAACTCGCGGATTCTTCAACTGACCGCGGCACACCTGCACCAGGGTAAACCTCCGCCTACCCACGTCCTGCTTTACAGGTGAAAATAGAGCAACAGGACCGCTGAGTCTTTGACTTTATTTATTTTCTGCTGTGTTTTACTTGCATCTATTTGAAAGAGTGAGTGTAAACACAAAAAATATTTTATTTTATGTGCTGGAATGTGAGAAAATAGGTTTAAATGTTAAACTAAATTTCTTCAAGTCAGAGAATGTTGCATATAATTAAATTTTTGCTTGATGCATAAAGTTAAAAGATTAAAACTATAAAACAAGTTTATAAAAAGAGACTTTTCCATTTGATTACATTTTGTATGATGGATTATGCAGAAAAAGTAGAATTGGGCTGAAAGATCTATGCTTTATCACCTATTCAGGTTGTAAATCGTGTTTTTAAAAAGTAACTAAGTAACTAAGTAATTAATTACTTTTGAAAATAAGTAATCAGTAAAGTAACGGGATTATTTTTTTTGGGAAGTAATCAGTAATTAGTTACTGATTACTTTTTTCAAGTAACTTGACCAACACTGGTGCTAACAGTGTAGCTCAGTGAGTTAACAACTACATCAAAAACGTAGAATAGAGCCCAGGGGTCGATAAAAGTGGAGAAATTGGTATCATACTCAAAGCAGTTCATGGTAAGTCTGAGTTTCTTTGTAACCTGGAGAGGCAGGGCAGCAGAGATGAGAAGGATGATAAGGGACTGCTCTGAATGGGTGTCACAAGGAAAGCTTTACAGCAAAAACGTCTGGACTGGGAGCCAAGTGAACGACCTGAGGCTGGAAAACTTGTTTTTTTTTTGGTTTTGGGTTTTTTTTTTTGTTTGTTTTTTTGGATGCTGGAGGTGCTTAATGTTGACAGCCAAATTGATCTGGACAGACTGCACTGTTTTTTTTTTTAGATTTAATGCGAACCCCGTTGGTTTTAAAAATCTACCATTGAGAATAGTGAAATGCACTTACTGGACCCCCACAAACACCTGCTGAAATGATGAGGACAAAGAACAGGTTAAAGATGGATTTTATATTGAGTTTGGATTGCTGATTGTTGTGTGGTCTCTATTTGTTTCAGTTGTTTTTTTCCTTCATCATGATTTATAAGTGGGAAAATTCCTATATGAAGGAAAACCCTGCAATACAAACAAATACAAATGATTATGAGATCATCTAAGCAAAGTATACTATCAGTAATGTGTTCTTTATCGTTTTTATCATTGTTGATTGTTGTTGTTGTCCATTTTTTCCTTCCCTGGCCTTAGGTATCAGACTGTACTGCAGTTTTTTGGTGTTTTATTGTTGTCAGGTGTGTGTCAGCTGCTGAACACCTGACCTTGAGCGGATGCTAAGCAGGGAAGCATCATATGGACGGCTAACAGGGCTAACATGTGCAGAGCTTGCAGACCACGGGACAGCACACTGTACTCATATTTTAGCTCTTAGCTTCTTGCTGCTTTGCGTATCTTTCTCCTCCAGCTCGTCCTCCTCTCTCTTTATTAAGCTTTGTTTTTCTTTTGACTTCCATGCTCATTTTTCCTCCCCTTCCACTCCTCCTTCCAGCCCCTTAGTCCTACTGTCGTCTATTTTTAGCTCCTCGTGTGTTGAGCAGAAGAGGTGCGTGAAAGCATGGGAGTGTGTCTGGATTGCGGGGGAGAAAGGTGCAGGCTGGTGTGCGTGTGTGTGACTGTGTGGGTATGTTTGGGTCTCCATCACGCTACACCAAATTGCCCACCACGAGGCACACTCTGCAGTCTTCAGACAGTCATTAGGAGTAGGATGTTGACAGTGCTGGGCTAGATATGACAGTAATTACTACGTAATGAAGCTGCTAAATTTAGTGCTCTATATTGAGTAATTCAATTTAATCCTCACATTATGTGGTTTAAAATAACTCGCTGCTCATGTATACAGAATCAGGACACAAACAAGTTCACTGACAAAGTTTTACTAAAAGTGCAAACATTCAGAAATATGGAAGGTATTAAACCAACCTGAGAATGTCATGAGAAATTAAGTTGGTGCCATGTAGCAGTGTAGATGTTTAGTACTTCCTTCGCTTCCTCCCTGCCTTAATAGCCACAGATAATGATTGACTCTTGAAATTAAACAATCATAGTATAGCCAATCATCCTTATGCAGATCACAAACATGATGATCTTACCTCTGTTCATAAACTGATAAGTTGCATTGATGACATAAACTGTTGGATGTCTTGAAACTTTTTAGAGCTGAATAGAGTCTCTGAAACCTTGACAGTATTTTAGACAGTGATCTCAATTTAGATCTCATTATTTTAGATTATTTTATTGTTGTATTATTTGTATTTGAAGGATTATCCAAATTATCAGTAGGACAATTCACTCAGAATGCATCAGCCCAGTGTCCTTACAGTTACATGGAAATTTGAACATATTACTCCTGTACTGAAGTCACTGCACAGATTCCCAGTTTGTTACAGAATTACCCTTATAATCTTTGACTTGCTCAGTGTCTGTAACCCAGTCAGATCTCTCAGGTCATCAGGTGCAAAACTTGTAACTGTCCCCAGAATTAGATCTAAGTGTGCTGATGGTGCTTTAAGTTCCCATGGACCTGTTCATTGGAACAAGCTGCCTGCTGACCTGTTATCATTATAAACCTACACGGATGTTTTAATCTTCTGCGTTCAGTGCATTGAATTGAAGTATAATGAAATGTGCTCTATAAAAAATGCCATTGCCATTATATACGTCACATAAATACTTAAAGGAACATGTTGTTTTGCTAACATAGCAATATTGTAAAGGTGTTATTTTTTTATAGAAATTGTATGACATTTTAACATTACACTGTCATTGTTCAGTTATTTAGTGCAAATGAACACCATTGTTAAACAAAACGGTAAAATTTGAATTTCAATGTACTGATAAGCCCCCTTTTTCTTGTTTTTGAGACAGTAAAACTTGGACATCAAATCTGAAACAACCTTCTTACGTAGGATTCCCTTTTTAATCAGAATGATTGTAGTCAGAAATAAAAGTAATAATATAATGTTAAGCTTACTGATAACACTCAGTCTTAATTATTTCTAACAATCATCAGAAGCAGAATAATTTAGCTATGAAAGTCAGTATTTCAGAATGATTAGATTTGACCGATGACCTTTAATTTCAGCATGTTATCAGGAATGTCTTGTGAGCCCTCGGCTTCCTGTGGAAAAGTTTCTGAGCTTTAGTTGACTTGGAGGTCCATTGGGGATCATTGCGGTCCCCACTTGTTAAAACCAGTGCTAATACTAATTCCTATTTGACTGCCATTCCATTTTTAATGTCCACATGATGTTGCCAGTTGTGTCTCTTGGAACTCAAAATTTCTTTAGAAACCTCTTAATCATGACTTATTGTTAGTTTGGTGTAAGGAAATAATTACGTGTCTTTTATAGCCACGTTTGCGTCTTGGCTGTAAAGGCAGGAACTGCATCTGTATGGCAGCTGAAGCTTATTTTGAAGCTTAGTTGTTACAGAGTTCACAAAAGTTTAAAACTAAAATTTGTTTTTTGTTTGTCTGCTTTGTTTTTGCAACCACTTTGGTAGTCTTGTGTTGAATCATGTGATTTTTGGGAGAAGGTGATTTATTTGTGTTGTGCATTAATATTATATTATTGTGTATAATGCAGATATAAACATTTGATGAGAGACAATAACATTTGAGTTTGGCCTTCTTTTCTGAATTTGAGTTGTCCCCTGTTGAGTAGTGTTACATGCAGATTTTAAACCCATATATTTAACACCTGGTTTAACTTGTGTACAGGGTTGTGCATCTATTGGCCTATTGAAATCTAAAGCTGTGGTGGGGCTGTTGGTTCTTTATTTGTTTTTTCCCTGTGTGGATTGCTCCAAGATTAATAATAGAAATATTTCCTGTAAGCTGTACTAAAACATGTGGTTATTGTTTTCAGCAGCGCTTTACTTACAAATGCTGTGTACTGGGGTCTAGAAAGAGACTGGGCAGATTCTTGCTGCCTGATTGCCTGTGTTTGTGGGGGGATGAGAGATTTTAAAAGTCAAATTCACAAGTTCTGTGTTACAATGAATGTTTCTAATTTTAGCAGTGTGAAACATCATGTTTAAGTCTTGGGGTGATTATGAGAAACACTGGCACCAAGGAAAAAAAAAAAGAACGGGGAGGAGTGGGAGGGTGGTGGAAGGAGGGCAGCCTCGTGTCTTTGCAGTTGATCATTGGTTGGAACCACTGGGAAGGGGGTGGTGCCTCAGTGCCACTGTTTCTGTAGAGAGAGGCAGAGAGAGCGAGTAGTGTGAGAAAGAGACAGCAAAGGAGAATAAATGAACACTGGGGGTTCTCCCAGCCTGCCTGCCTGCCTGCCTGATTTCCACTACAGACAAAGGTGATGCCCTTCCCAGCTGAGGTGGGCGTGCGTGCATTTTGAATACCGGTCACCTCGCACACCTTCTTCAACCTCACAGCTCAAGGCATTCTGCTGTGATCTTTCTGCGAAGGACTAGACAGAAACTGAGGCAAGAGCAAGCAGAGAGGCGGAAACAGCAGCAAGAAATCAGAGCTGGAGGATAAGAAACGGGGGGGAAGAGGAAAGACAAGCAAGTTAATGGACTGAATAAAAATGATGCTTAATCTTTCATGTAAATTATGTATGCAGCACATTAAACAATAATGTCTCCTCACTGGAAGCTGTGTCTGTGACTCTGTGGACTGTAGACAGAAAAGAGAGAGATTCAGTCTGGGATTTCTGCAGCTGCAGCAGATGTTGATGACATCTCAGACTATATAGGGAAGGGAGGCATTTCAAGCAAGTCGGACTGGAATTCCTTAAAAGTCAAATTTTTGTCTCTTTGCTCTTCTTTGTGCCTTCAACTGGGAATTTTGCAGTACCGAAACAGGAAAAAGAAAAGGACCCGTATTGCATCATTTGGAAACCTTAACAGCCTGCTCTGAAGACAATTCCTGGGGACTTTCTCACCTTTTTATGGTCTTTCAGTCTTTCATTCATTTGAAATGATAAACGCCAGCAGTCTCATTATGGAGCACTGCATTTGGACTGAAACCATACAGCTTCTGTGAGCTCTACCCAGCGACCGGGCAAAGTAGTGGCTTCTAGGATTTACTGTATCCTTGAAGAGCCCTTCGGACAGATATTTCTGCCCAAGATGATGAATTCCTCGCTGGATCCACTGAACCAGAGCTCTGCTGACTTCTCAAACTCATCTGCTCCCTTTTGCTTACTTGAGATAGGCTATTCCCAGATTTTCACGACCTGCCTCCTTGAAGTTTCGATCATACTTCTCCTGACTGTTCTCATTATTTCTGGTAACCTAGTGGTGATTTTTGTGTTTCACTGTGCCCCTCTGCTCAGCCAGCACACCACCAGTGCTTTCATCCAGACTATGGCATATGCCGATCTGCTGGTGGGAGTCAGCTGCCTTTTCCCCTCCCTGTCCCTACTGCATCATCTTCAGAGCTTCGATCCCAAACTCACCTGTCAGGTGTTCGGGTACATGGTATCTGTTTTAAAGTCAGTTTCAATGGTGTCTTTAGCATGCGTGAGTGTAGACCGCTACATCGCCATCACACGGCCTCTGACTTATGCATCCCTAGTGACACCTTGTCGAGTGCGCTGCTGTATTGTGTTGATATGGCTTTACTCTGCTCTGGTGTTTCTCCCATCTTTTCTTGGATGGGGGAAACCTGGTTATCATGGCGATGTTGTGGAGTGGTGCGCAGTGGAATGGAGGACAAGTCGGGCTTTCACAACCTTCATTGTTACGCTGCTCTACGCTCCAGCTGCTCTAACTGTCTGTTTCACTTACGCAAACATCTTCAAGATCTGCCGACAGCACACCCGAGAGATCAGCGAGCGCCATGCACGTTATGGACCTCAGCAACTGCAGGGCCCAAGAATCGCAGTTGGCTCTGTGGTCAAGGACAACAGTGCAGTAGAGCAAGGACAGTTACCCCACTTGTCCCAACCCCAGTATCAGCAGTCCACATCAGCATACCCAGACAGACGTTATGCTATGGTGTTGTTTCGCATTACTAGTGTGTTTTATATCCTTTGGTTGCCCTACATCCTCTACTTTCTGTTGGAGAGTGGAGGGATCTACCACCACCCTGCAGCATCATTCCTTACCACATGGCTGGCTATTAGTAACAGCTTCTGTAACTGCCTCATTTACAGCCTCTCCAACTCTGCCTTCAGGAAGGGCCTCAAACGTCTCTGCTCTTTCTGTTTGCAGCGCAGCGGCAGCAACTATGGGGTTAGGAACACCAAAAAGGCTTTTTTTGGTTCTGCTGAAAAGGGGTGGGGATATGGTCATGGGGAGATGAGAACTGGTACAACATGTCACGTGTAGGGTAAATACTTTTGCCAAATTGGCATTTGGACACGTAAGAAACGGCTGAAGTGATGGCTGTTAAAATGCTGCTAAAATGTGCTGTAAAGAGATGGAACAAGGCGTTGAATAGCCTATGCTGTTTCTGTTGCATTTGGAAGTTAGACAAGCATCCTCTCTGCACAAGCCACAGCTGGCAAGTAGAATAAGTCGAGAGTAAATCTATGAGAAAAAAAAAAAAGTGGCTCTTCATGATGTTTTAAAATGGTCAAGGACAGGCATGATAGGTGGAGGGGGGTTGAAATAAGGAAAAAAAAAGTATATGAGAGCCGTAGACGTAAAGTAACTTGAGGATGAACAAAAGGTTTATCTACCAGTGTTCCTTTTTTAAGTGAATCCTTAAATTGTTATAACAAAAACCCTTACCGAAACTGTGTTGAAAAACTAAATGTGCCGTTTCTGAAATAAAGTGATTTCACTTCATTTGCCAGATCATCGTCACATAAGTAATACTGAATGAAGCGCAGGATAGATGAATGCAAACAGAACAAGTGACTTCTGTGATTAAGGATCGATGTACTGAAGCTAACTGATAACAACCAGCTCGTTAATTATGGTTTTCAGTCCTCATACCATAAATCAGTGTTAAATATGAAAAATGATGCAACTTTTTTTCTTTAAATATTTGTTGTCTCTTGTCGCTGAAGGAGTAGGTAGGTGTAGACCCACCTAGATTTACCGACTTTGAATTTTAGATTAACCTATTTATTGATGTTGCTCACAAATGTCTTTAAATGATTTGTGAGTTTGCACACTACATCCATTTTCTTTGTAATATAGTATGGTAACCAGCTTTGGCATATGACTGTTAACCTGAAAAATGCAGATGTAATGATTAGTGAATATCTCTTTCAAGTAATATGTCATTGCACCTTTGTTATGATTATGTAGCAAATGTGATTTTGTGTTTCTGGGGCACTGAAAGGCCGAGGAAGGATGTATTATTGCACTTATTTTATATTGATTATTGGTACATCTTTGGGCTAATTTTATTTATTTTTTAAGAGATTTTTCGTGTTGGTTAGAGGAAAAACAAAGAAGCAAAGAAAAAAAAACACAACTATATTTTCAACCACAAAAGCCTAAACTTATTAACTTTTTTTAAGGAACTGAACATTTTCTTTGGGCTGTTCCTAATGACTATTGTTCTTTAAAGATTTTTATGATTGCGAGACCGTCTGACTGAAATGCCAGAAGTACTTGACCAGTCAAAAATTTTCAGTGCTCCGAGCCTCACCCACAGTTACTGTCCAAGAGCATTTACATTAGCATTCATATGAATAACCATTCAACTGTGAGCCTTACCCCTTATCTTTTGGATTGGTAGGAGAAACAATCCTATGACATCCTGAGTCAGATATTTGTAACAATCTCAAATGATTCCTTTTTTTTGTTTTGTTTAGTACAATCTTAGATGTTTGCTGTGTTGTGACTGCGACTGCATTACTGTGCCTGCATTTGGGATCTAGTACACGTGTACGCAAACGAACAGGGATCACATGCAATCAGAACAGACAAATAGCCCATTCACTCTGCCAGCAGGCTTACCTCTGTGCGGCAACAAGAAGAGGGACTGGTTGTGTGCATACCGTCCTAAGCTCTAAATTTGCGAGGAATTACTTTTGCGATGAGCTATGGAGTCTTCTTTTATGCGTTTGGTTAGCTAGAGAAATTCGAGCTTTATACATTTTATTTAAACTACCAAAGAGAGTTCAGTAGGTATTCGTGGATATTTTTCCACTTTTCTCTAGTGTATAAAAGATCAATGCTAGTGGATTTTACTCAAAGTTTGCGGTGGGTCGGCGATGCCTTGTGTGCATGAATATGACTGTTTCTCAGACTACTGAGATATATCGTTGCCTTGATAGAAACACGATTTTAAACTGTTGGGAAATGATTTCCTCTAACAGCTAGAGAGGGCTCTGTTTATTAACACTTGGCTGTTTTTGGAAGGCACAAATTGTCAATTGTACGCATGTACAGAAATGAAAATGTCAGGTCCACATTCACTGCGGAGTAACCTGAAATATATTTGCAAATTATACTTATATTTCACAAGTTCACTTTTGTCATTGTTTATCTGTTCTGTACAATCAAAATTAACCAGGAGTGAAAACATGACTGAGAACAATTTAAACAATTTTTTATTTTATTTATTTTTTTCTTTTGCATTTATTCATTCATGTGTGCTTGTTGTGTATGAGAGTTTACAGATATGTCAGGATGCGACCATTGGTTGAATTTGGACTGTTTAAGATTTTCCAGCAAGGGTGCTACTGAAGCTTTCCCCTTTGCTCATTTCTTTATTAGCTGCACTTCCCTCAAGTGTTTCCCCTCTGTGCGTTGTGAGTATGAAGTATTGTGGTGGTAGATAGATTCACATGTTGTCTTTAAATACTGTAATCTGCGTAGCAATGCCAAATATTGTAATCTTTCCTATTTTTGTTTCAGTCTCTAAACAAGTGTACAATATTGCCGTACTGAATGTTTGATTGTTAAACTATACAAATTTCTTTTCTACTCACTTTTTTCCTTTTGTTCTTGTAAAGTGATAAATGTTGCGCAATCTAGGTAGGATTAGCAGCATGCTTACTGATTAAAAAGACTGAAGTTTGTTTTTAGATATTTCTGTTTAAATTTTCTGCTGTAAACACAATTTGTAAAGACTGATGGCTTTTAAAGTTGACTAATTTAAAACTATAAAACTTAAAGGTACAGTTTTGTAAATTGTAGCGTGTAATGGTGACACATCATTGATCTTGCGTACACATTCAGTCTGTCTTGTGGGAAAATAATCACTTCCATGTTCTCAAGGACATGACACTGGTGACTATGAGGAACAACTATGGCACGCTGGGTAAGATTTTAAAGAACAAGAGGAAATGTGGCCGCTACAGCTGGTTTAGGAAGTCATTTGTAGCTTAAATGCAGCATTCTTCTGTGAGAGAGAGGAAAAGAATTGTTGGTGGGCACAATAGTAAATGAGCACATAGTTCACCTGCAACAGACTGATTAGTAAACTCAGAAAGGTCATGAAAATGTATTCAGTAGATGCAAAGAAAGAAAACTAAAATGACTCTGAACATCCAGAAGCTTATATCCTTTTCTTTGGCTGTAATCAAAGCGCATTTGAATAAATTTAAATGTCTTTATGAGCATACAGCGTCTTTGTCTTTTGTCCTAATGAAGTCACATACCTTAATGGGTAAAAGTGTCATTTATTGGATTTTTTTCACTTGGATAAACAAATCGTTTGTCACGGAAAAGGTTAATGATAAAGTGATTTGTCCAATTCCCGTCACAGGTACGATTCCGCTATGACTGAAAAGGCAAAGATAGCGTTAGTACGTTGGTGTTTCTATAGTTAGTGAGGAGTACAACTACCTGTTAAAATGGTGGTGAAGACATATTGTTGATTTGTTTCAGGGCCTCTCTTAACCGCAATTTACCAATCTTAGAAGTCTTTGTGTCGCCTTGAGACTGGCTTTGTATTTTTAGTTTAAAAATTATTTTTTACCCTTTATTTGGCCCTGCACGTGTCATCTACATTTCCCTCTTGTAGTCTGATAGTGTAATCAGCAAATTAGGGCTAACCCACATTCAAAACTGTGGGTTTTTTTCTTGTAAATTACTCGTCTGTTATCATCATTGTTATGGAGGGTTTTCTTTCCCCGGAAAATTATCAAGATCATTTTATCGTCCTGCTTTAGTCAAAACAGGCAGTGTCATTAAAGGCTGACTTATGATGCAGCTGTTTTAAGGAACTGATTATTTTAAATACACAAGAGGAACCTGAGCACTGTAAGTGAGGTGTATTCTGGAAAGCTTCCAAAGTCAAGATTTTTACTCTTGCCCACATTGAACACTGAATAATGCATGTAATGAACAGTCGGAACTATGTAAGTTTCAGATTGAGAAAATAGAGCCACTCCATTTTTAAAATAATGCTAAAATGCAAAATATTTTATTTGCCAACGGTGTTGAATTTCTGATGAGGTTTGCGTGAGATGTTAGCTTTTGTGAATCATGAATGTGGGGATAATTTAAATGTTTTTTTTTTGCTGCTGGTGGACGTGAGATTCTTCTGATTTACTCAATGCTTTGTTGCCATGTTTTTGTAGCATTTTTGTGCATTGTGTATCTGTACTAGGCAAATAAATGTGATGTTATTTCAGTCTATTCAACTGAATCTGAACTAAAACAAGGAGAATTGAGGTTAAATTTTGAATTTTGTTGTTGATTTCCCAAGTTTTCACTAGTCAAAATGTCAGATCTCTCGAAAAGCAGCATATTTCTGCCTGCAGCTATTCAGCTGAATTTGAATGCTGCTGAAACTGATGTAAAATATGTGGCAGTTGACATTACTTGTTCTTTTGTCATTTCTATTCTGATGAGATTCATATTTTGTCTGCTCTCCTTTTGCTGAGGCAGTGAATCCAGTGCACAAATGGCACAGAAAGTAGGGCATGAGACAGACTATTAAGATTTAATTATGGCTGATGCTAAGGTGAGGAAACTGCACTATGGGAAGCCTAAGCAAGTGTTATTTACCAGTCATTTTAAAGAAAAGAGAAGGAATCACTGAATTCATCTCAGTTATATTTACGTTGTTTTTTTTACGTTTTTTAAAACAGGACAGTAAAACATTCACCATTTATTCTTCCATTTACATTTAAATCAAGTTAAATAATCTAAATGCAGCACTTTGTATTATTTTGTTCAGGGTGAAAGGTTTATGGCAAGCTTGATAAATATCACGCCATGTTCTCTTGGTGTCTTGGTAGGGTCCTTTAGGAGCAGAGAAAGAATAACAGAGTGACATGTCAGCTATTGTGTTGAGTCAGAGAAAATCGGGGACGTAAACAATAGAGAGCTAGCTATTCAGCCTTCTCACGGAAGCTCTAGTCTAGTGCTTAACTCCAAGCTTTAGATTCATGCACACACACACACACACACACACACACACACACACACACACACACACACACA